TGCCCGCACTGCTGTTAGCCCCTCACCCCCCTTGGTCAAGGCCAATGGTGTCCTGTGTTCTGGTCATAATTCATCCCCCTTGACTCATCCCTTCTACACTTTCACGGCCACTTTCTGTTCCCTAATTTTTAATTCTTATACCAGGAGTGATGCAAGTCTATTTCTCTGAAGCTCTCTCTGTTCTCTCCATTTCTGTCTCTGTCACTGTCTGTCTGTCTGTCTGTCTGTCTGTCTGTCTCTCTCTCTCTCTCTCTCTCTCTCTCTCTCTCTCTCTCTCTCTCTCTTTCTCTGTTCCTGTCTCTCTTCTCCCTGCTCTCTCTCTGTCCAGCTTTCTTTCTCGTTCCCTTCCAACCTGATTCTGCTAAAATTGCCCTCACTATTGCCACATGATAGTCACACAACTGCCAACTTCCACATAAAATATAAGAAAGCTCTGTGACCCAAAATTAAGTCTGTGTCTAAAGGAGACCCAGTGCCACCAAACTCTCAAAATTCTAACAAATTTCTGCACAACTACAAACCTGTCCTATCTGCTCAACATCTGCCTTTCCGTAAATACATATTAAGGATGTGATTTCTTGTTTCCCTGAGTTTAAATGCCACCAATATGGCAGAAATATTATTTCATACTTACAATCTGTTGTAGGCATACACAACTTTGGTTACATTTGGGATTATGAAGGATTTTGTGAGCTAAACTGGAAACCTAAAAACCAGACCTGATGCTGTTAGGGGAACATGTTTCTATTTTACAACCCAAGTGTACAACCCATCTGGTGACTCGCTGTTTCTTATACTGCCAGCTTAATGGTGAATACCAAGTAGAAAGAGGTAGCAGGAAAATCTGGCAAGAATAAGGTCATTTTGTGCCAGATATTTAGAGGGTGCAAAAGCGTGGTTGTTAGCAAGGGGAAAGCATTAGGAACAGCAATCTGACCAATGCCAAGCACTCATCCTTGTGTCCAGTGAGGAAGAGATCTGTCACATCCGCTGTGACCATGCCAGCCACTGTGTGAGGCACCAGGGTAATGTATGAGAAAGATGGACAGGGAGCCTCAGCCAAAATCCATCAGCTCCCAGAGAAGCCCAGGGATGCAAGGTGTGGTGAGCACTGGGAGCATACCTGAGTCTGCTCTCTGGTACTATAGCAGAATACTCAAAATTGGGCAACCTATGAAGAGGAGAGGTTAGTTTGACTCCATACTAGAAGTTGGGAAGCCCAAGATTCACTGGGCTACATGCAATAAAGGCCTTGTGTTGCTCCAGCAGATGCAGAAACTGGCACGGCAAGTGGGAAAGTATGGAAGACAGATAAAGGGTGCAGACTCCTGTCATGGCTGTTCTGTCCCATGAAGAAAGCATTAGTCCTCCCTGGGAGCCTTGCCCCTCATCCAAGCGCCTCCCATAAGGCCCCAAATCCCAGAACTACCTGGTGATAAATTAAATCTAGACAGAGTTTTGGTGATATAAACCATCTTCCCATCATAGAGGATAGAAAAATGGACAGTGCCTAGGCCTCTGGAGCTTCAGCAGGCTTGAGAATGGGCCAACTGCTGCAGCCCAAGTGTGGTTATACCTTGACAATGGGCTCCTAGAACCCATGTTTCAACCCATCCATGCTAGGACCATTACTCATAAATGCAAATAATCATATTTTTTATATCTGAGTTAACTCATCCCAAAATGAATAATCCAAGATTTTGTCTACTGATTTTTTTTTCTCCCAAAAGAAGACTGGTTATTCTATGGTTATTTTTTTTTTTTTACCATACTTACATTTTTTATTTCAGCTTATGAAAAAATTATTTATGGAATTGGAATGAAGCTTGTGCTATTGTTCATGGCTCCAAATGTTACTGGTTTGACAATAATGGTAATAAAGGGTTGTGTCTGAAAGCCCTGAATTTGTGCCTGGCACATTAGAGTCACAAGATACACACTAATGGACACTATTTAAAAGCAAAAGCGAGAAATGGTATATAAAGAACTTACAATTGCAAAAGAATAATAGAAGGAGTAATCCCCCACAGAGAGGAAAGCTTTAAAGGACCAGATATTGAACTGGTAAACAAGAAAAGACTGACTTTGTCACATCAGGTTATTAGCATGTCCAACAATATTTGTCAAGGAACATGACATGACCTGATTTTTGTCCTGATTTATTGACCAACTGATCAGTATAGTGATGAGGCTCTCCTGTGTTTTGTGATTACTTAGAGAAATATAGGTAAATCATCAGGACATACTTGAATGGAAAGTTCCAGGTGAAATTATACAGGCTGTTGTTTAACATATGACTAACAGTGGGGACTATGCTTCAGCAAATACGGATGGTCACCGTGGGTGAATTGAGTGCCCTTGGCCACGGGTGTGGCTGTGGTGCACGAAGAGCTGGAGGATGTGATGTCAGCAGCAGTTTGACATTGCATAAGTGGTTGTGCTTGCCCTTCCTTGCTCCTGAGTCTGGGAAGACAAATCACACACTGGTGAAGACCTCCCGCCCAGTCTGGAGCCAGAGCAACTAATACAAGCTTTCCATGAATGTTTGCACGAACCCATAACATACTTTATGTTGTTTGACATTTGGGATTATTTGTTATGCAACATTATCGTGGCAGTAGCTGACTGTTACAGTGAACAAAGTCTCATATTTTTGTTAAGGAACTTGGCTTTAAATTAAAGATAGCTTAAATATCCTTCAAAGTCTACTGCTAAAGTTGTGGTCCCCACTTGTGGCACTTTGGAAGATGCTGAAATCTTCAGGAGCTTCCTTCCCTGGTGGGAGGAAGCTAAGTTCCTGGAAAAGTGCCCTCAAAAGGGGAAAATGGAGTCTAGGCCCTTCCTCTCTCTTTTATTCTTCCACCACCACAAGCTCCTTGCCATGATGAGTCATCTCCCCATGGACCTAAAATCACCAGGGAATCTAAACCGGTGAGCCACTCCAAGTCCTCCTTAGAGACTGATGTTCTCTTTCATCATAGTGATTTCCATCACTTCCCAGCTGACTTACACAAGAGCCACTTCTGCTTAGAAGTTAAACTATTGATCAGCAAACATCTAAATTAAAATTTAAAGGGCCAACGAGATAGCTCAGCAGACTAAGCACCTGCTTAGGCAAGTGCAGGGACCGGAGCTGCATAGACCTCACCCCTTGACACACTCAATCAGCACTGAGTCTGGGCGTGGTGGCTCACGCCTGTAATCCCAGCCCTGGGGAGGCTGAAAACAGGAGGATCGCTAGGAGTCTGAGCTATGTAGTGAGGCCCTGTATGAACTATATAAAAAAATAGACAAATACAATGATAGAAATATTTAAAATAAAATAAAATGTGGAGACTTTATGAAGTATATTACCTGTCCATATCATTGCTGCTGACAATAAACATGGAGGTGCCTGGAAAAATAGCAGGCCTAGAGTTGTGCTGGGCTCCGTGCCACACTTTGTTCAAGAGAAAGAATCCTGTCTTGGCATGGGCACCATGAAGAGCAGCAGACCTCAAACCTTCGACAGTTCGAGGGCCAGGCGGGCGGTAGCTGTCCTGGCAGGCTGGCTCTTTGTTGTGCCAGACAGCCAAGCTTCTCGGTTTGGAGCAGGTGGGAGCCTCAATAATTTAAGCAAAATGTTGACTCTTTCGGCCAAGAAAAATCGCAGCTCGCTGAGGAATGTTTCCTGATGCTTTAACGGGGAGGAGACTGCAGCCCCCTAGAGTGGTGCTAAGGGACGCATCTGCTCTAATGCCCAGGGCTGTCCTCATGTCCCCAGAGCAGGAGCAGGAGCATAGGCCACTTCCAAGACGTGGTCACCCTCTGAGAAGCCATTTGAAAGTTAGTCTCACTTATTTCTCCTAAGCCAATAAGACAAGCTATTGTGCTGCCTTTTAATGTTGGATTGCAGTTGAGTTTTGCATAATGTATTCCACCAAATTAAATCAATAAATTTGCCATTTATTTTGCCTTGAAATTCCTTTTCATCCTCTTTTGTAAACCTCTTTTGTAAAATAGAGACGGATGTGGTAAAATGGTTATAGTATGCCTGGAAAGTGAGTCTACATGAAGTTCGGTCTTTATGGAGAGATGAAAATTGTGACCCAGTGTGAAAATGGCATGCACCACACTTTTCTTATAAAGTCACTGACCTTAAAGATGGATGAAATAATAAAATGGCATTTGTAATTACTTGCATACTATTTTTTGAAAAGGTAAATAAATAATATAGACTATAACTATCTAAATGTTCTCACACATGAGAAGCCTATCTAAGCTGAGTACACTGGTGTGCACTGTAATCGCAGCACTTAGGAGGCTGAGTCAGGACTGTCATGAGTCTGAGCTACGTGGTGAGTTCAAGGCCAGCCTGAACTACATAGCAAGACCATGTCTCAAAACAACAACAACAAAAGATTGTGTTAGGACTATATTTGCTGAGCCAAATAACAGCCTTCAGTCCCTCTGGCTAGATCTGGACACATTACCTTCTAAAACTCACAATTTGAATCTTTATAAAATTACTTTTTTAAAAGCAGCCCCAAGGTCTAAAAAAAGAAACAATGTCCTTGAAGTTAACCCAATTTGACTTTACAGATTAAAATATCAGTAACATGAGGTGCATAATTTTTCTTAAACATTGTCCCTTTATCTCTTAGGAAGGACATGCAAACTTCAGTAATTTTGTCTCCTTAATAAGTGTGGCAAATTGGGAACAAAAACAAGATAAAAGGTTTTATTCTAGGCCATTTCGTTCAGCATAATTTCAACTTTCAAGTTACAGGAACATAAATGAATGTCCTACTTCTGTGTTAGAAGTACTTGACTACTTTGTGGGATGTTTTGTGCCAATTCTTTACTAAATTATCTTGGTCACTGTTGCTAGGTAACGCTGCTGGCTTCCTGCAGCTGAAAAATGAGAGGGTTACAGAGAGCAATTTGGCATTATTAGTGTTTGACTAATAAGTTGGTTTTTTAACTGTGTCTCTTCGCATTTTCCCTCCCTCATTTTCCAGGGAATGTCATTGTCTACGGGAATACAATTGACACCTACACCACCGTGGAAATGCTCTTAAACCTGGGTGTGAGAGGCACCTGCATCTACCTAGTGCGTACTCCACCCAACTCTGCAGTCACCTCCCTCAACAACTACTCGGTGGAGGGTGCAGTGGACGAGGCGTTGGAGGCGGCCGGCGTCACTACTTTCCAGGACGCCATCCTGGCCCAGTGGAATGAAGGCCTGAACCCCAACCCCATCAACTGTGCCAGCTTCACCACACCCACCAAGCCGTTCCAGCTCCAGTGCTCTGTGAGTCTGTGTGCATGCACAAACACACACACACACACATACACACACACACACACACACACGAGCACGCATACCTGCTGGACAGGGAATATTTAGTCTCAGATTTGGGGTTCTGCTTTCTGACTCTTCCAGAATACTCAGAATAACAGTGAGCTACTCCTAAACTCAGGGCCCCCCCAAAAAAACGATTGCTTGTTATTATGTCTCCAGATCAGGTTTTGACAGGGCCCAACTGATGAGTTCTCACCAGAGCTCCCTGAGATGGCTGAAGTCAATTGGAGGAGTTTGGGGCACCTTCCAGAAGGCACACGTACTCTCTCATGTGGTTGTTGATGCAGATAACTTAAATTGAGATTTTAGTCAGAACCTTTGTAAGTGGCCCTTCTGTGGCACTGGGCTTCCTGGCAATATGGCTGCTTAGTTCTAAGATCAAATGAAGAAAGAGAAAGAGAGAGAGGGAGAGAGAGAGAGAGACAGAGAGAGAGAGAGAGAGACAGACAGAGAGAGAGAGACAGAGAGAGAGAGAGAGAGAGAGACAGAGAGAGAGAGACAGAGAGAGAGACAGAGAGAGAGACAGAGAGAGAGAGACAGAGAGAGAGACAGAGAGACAGAGAGAGATGGAGAGAGACAGAGAGAGAGACAGAGAGACAAAGGGGGAGAGAGAGAGAGACAAAAAAAGACAGAGACAGACAGACAGACACAAAGAGAGACAGAGACACAGTGAGACATAGAGAGACAGAGACATAGAGAGACAGAGACTCACAGTGTCCCCTTTATGACCTGGCCTCAAAAGGCATGTGGCATCACTTCCACCACTCTCTGCTGGAGGCCAGTCACTACACCCATCCACATTCAGTGGAAAGGGAATTGGTCTTTGCTTCTTCATGCAGCTTGGTCTGAGGATTAAGGAGGACAGCCTTCTCTGGGGGCCTGCCCTATCCTGGGCCTGGAGTTGCTGAGCATGGGAATTTTATATTCCACTCTTTATTGCATTGGTTCCTACACCTATTTTGTGAATATTTATTGAACACTTAGTAGATAAATCTCAAGCCCAGCAATAGATATAGCAGCAAAAAAGACAGAAAAATCCATTTCATTTTAAAAGTGACATTGTTGAGGGCCTGCTGGTTAGCTCACGTGTTTAAGCGCCTGCTCATGCAAACAGTCAGGCCCAGGATACCGTGGTTTGATCTCCAGCTCTACGTGCCTTACTAGACCCACCCTTATGGCAGCCTGAGCCAGTCAAAAAATTGCTTCTAAAAGCAACATTGAATCAAGAAGGTTATGGGGCCAAAGAGGAAATCGATCGATGACGTGGAGTGTGCCTAAGGAGAGTCACATGAGGAGAAGACACTCTCTCAGGCTTTCACAGAGAGCACATTGGCCAAGCAATGGCTGTGACTCATCCACATGGCTGCACTGACAAAGGTTCTACAATCTGAGGTACAGGATCTCAGGATAAATCCTGAGGGCATTTCACTGACCTTCTCAAACCAAAAAGCTACAACTCTTGTTGCATAGGTTCTGCTTTACCTTGGTCTTAACCTTCCAGTAGAAAAGTATGAAGATGAAATATAGGAAGTAAAGCCATGTTGTTACGTTGAGCTGTGGGGGACTCACATCAATAATTTCTGACATTGCCAATTAAACAGAAGACCCAATGCTATTATGGGCTACTGGACTCTTTTAGAATATTTTGCTGAGTTTACACACCTATAATATTCAACAACGGAACTTAAAAAAATTGGGGTATAACTATGAATGTCCATTTTGTATCTGTGTATTCAAAGTGGTTGGGTTAGATATATAGTTGCATTCTCTTAATGAATAGAATGATTTTTTCTAATGGTGTTTGTAAGTAGGATCACAAGTCTGCATCTTGTACAGCAATTAACCACTAAGAAGAATATATGCAGTGTATTATTTGTTGAAACTGTACTTTCGATTTGATTTGAAACTGTCTCATTGCTATATGTTTATCAATAAAACTTTGAAAAGAAAAAAAAATAAAAGCAACATTGAGGGCCAGGGAGATGGTTCAGTAGAATAAGCGCTTCCCTGGCAAGCGCAAGGGCCTGAGTTCAATCCCTGGTTCCACAAAAAAAAAAAAAAAAAAGCAACATTGTCTACACTTGCCTGTCACTGTAATACCTACTTAAGATAGAAAAATCAAAATGCTCTTGTGTCACTTTTTCACTTCAAAATGATGAACCTGGAAACTTGTCATGTCTATCTCTGGGAACCCCTGGAGAGGAATATGCACTTCAGGGGAAGAAAAAGCCCAGGAAAACCTTCCCAAGTCCCACTGTATCCTTTCCCCACCCTTTGCTTCTGTGTTCAGATTAAAATCAAAATCATGGCAAAACATCTTACAAATGCTGTTGATGGCCCCGATCCAGAGCAGCTTCCTGAGAATCCTTCATCCCACAGCAGTATATGGGTCAGATGCATCTCTGTGTGGAGAACAGATCCGTGCCATTGGACCCTTTCTCCCTGTCCTGCTGTGCGTCTTGGGGAATGGTCTCTATTTTCATTTCTTTTAGCTATATCCCAAAAGAATGGTTAGGTCATATACTGCATGAATATTTTCCTCTTAGAAAGCTACCTACTGCTCTCCAAAGTAGCTGTACTCCTTTACATTTCTACCAACAATGCACTAAGAGTTCCGGGTGCTCCTTGTTTTAGCAAACACTCAGTATTGTAGTCTTTCTAATTTCAGTCTTTCTCCTAAATGTGATGTGGTAGATCATTATGTTTTTAATTTGTGCTTTCCTAATGTGGTTAATGGTGTTGAGCATCTTCTCATATACTTACGGGCTATTGGTATATCTTCTTTTGTTAAGTTCTGAGCTATTATAGATTCTTTGAATTTTAATTTATTATTTAATTAAATTTAATTATCATAAATGGATTATTTAATTTCAATCACTCATTGATAGTATGCAAAATGCAATTAATTTTGTATATAAACATTAAATCTAAGCCTTGGCTAAATTCACTTTCTCATCCTGGTAGCTGCTTTCTAGGCACATAAACTAGCTACAAATGGGACACTTGTGCATCTTATCTGATATTTGGACCTCTTATTTTCCCTAGATGCCTGATTCTACTGGCTAAGACCTTGGGTACAATATTAAATAAATCTGAAAGAAATAGACACTCATGCAATGTTCCATAAGTCAGGAGAGAGCTTCCAGACTTCCATATTAAATATGGAATATCAATAACTCTGAAATTTCTTCACACACACATACACAGAACACAAAATTATGACAAGCATTTAGTAGATTTTTTAAATCTACAAAATAAAAAGTAATTTATGACTACTTAATAAACTACTTTATTAGTACTTCTTCTATAACTCTGGAGATGATCCCTGCTCTTGAGAAGGTGAATTAAGAAGGATCAGAGTCACACTATGATTATTCCCTTTGTAGATGTTCTTCAGCTTCTGTGAGAAGAACGTGGACTATGAAACTTTCAAAGCATTGAATGATGCGTGTCTTGTCTATGACGGTCGTCTTGTGATTGACACCAACTTCCACACCAATGACATCGCCATCAGGGCCGCCGGCCCCCTCACCAAGTTTTCTAACAGATACTATGCAAATGACTGGACTCACAGCAACTTCAGTTCCAAAGAAGTGGGCTTTCAGCTGGCAGCCACTATGCTCAATCTCTTCGATCCAACCCTGGAGCCTGTGATAGAGCCACCAGCTGACCTGGACCGCCTCATCCCCATGTACAAGGGAGCCAAGATGCAAGGTAAGTGAGCTGCTGCTCTCTTGCTCCACGACTCTGTGCATCTGGCTTCTGTGGTTCTCTTAGGTGTGGTGCACTCTCCATAGTCCCCCAGGGGTTGCCATGAGGATAGCAGAGGGGCACATCTTGCTTCTCAGGCATTCATTAGCATCCTGGCATTATTGCTGTTAGGACCACTTACACCTTGAACATTTGTCAGGGGACACATCCTAGCTGTGGTCCCATTGAAAGATAAAGAAGTAGACTAGAAACAACGTAGACCTTCCCTAGAAGGCTCAGAGCCTGTGGTTTCTCTGACATAGTCCCCAAAGTCCTCACTCTGCAGTGGCCCAGGCCTTTATTGTTCTCTTGGTAGATGAATGGCCTCACCCACTTGCAGCTATGTAACAGTCTACTTTCACTTGCTAAGCCTTGTTGACCCCCCCAGGAGATAATACAATATGCAAGACAGGACTTCTTGACCTTTACAGATGGTGTCTTTGAAGGTTATGGATGTTCTAGCCAGGAAAGCACACAATTTTCCAGCTGTATATTTATTTCCAATGGCCTTGGAGCATCCTCTCTAGCCACCCAAAACAGTGAGATGGAGGGGTGTCAGAAACCAGGTGTAGGATTAGGGACAACCCAGAAATAGTTATAATTTGATAGCAATCATTTTCTGAAGCACTGAGCAAAGACCTTTGTTGGTTTTCCTTATGAAGTTCAATGCTTTATATTTCAACCACATATTAGTGGCATGAGGGGGATGGGAAAGCACTCAACAGCAAAGGCTCCTGGAAGTCTTGATCTGGTTTTGAAAGTATAGATTAGGTGTTGGGAGCTGTGGGAAGTCCCAGGACATATAGTCAGCTTGGCCCATCTTGGGCCACAAACAATTCTATTATGGGATGTAATGTCACCTGCACATTGCTTTGATTACACATAAGGTACAAGCACCACAGGGAACCCTTGGCAGTTAGCAGTACTGTACTGGGAGAGTCTGAGTAGCACACATGTTGTAGACATTTCTGTGTGCCTTGTGCTGAAACTGTGAATTCTGTTCCTTCCTTTCTCAACAACTCATTTCAAATGTGGAAACCTTGCCCTCTCCTCCAGGAGGCATTCTCCCTGGATCCTACCATTACCTGCACATCACCAAGCCAGCCATCCCCATTGCCCTGGAGGTGCAGATGGCACAGGCTGATTTTGTAAGTATTGCGCTCTCAGGCTTCCTTATACTTTGAAACATAGCGCTCCATCTATAGGAGGATGAAATGCTTTACTCAAGTCTTCATGAACTATGTTGGTTCATGCAGTGAGTTCAGAAACCCACTCTGGCATCAGCCTCCAAGGTGGCCTCCAAGAATCCTCTGTCCTCATGCCCTGTGTCCCCTCCTACACTGAGCTGGCTGGCCTGGAGAGCCAACAGGTTATGGTGAAGACTGTGTGACCTCAAAGGGTAGGTCATGGAATGTGCTAGAAAGTGTTCCAACCGTGTCTTCTTGGATCACATGCACCATGTTGTGAGGTCACCAGGCAGCCATTTAGTGAGGTCCCATAGTAAGGCACTAAGGACACCACATCCACGCCAGCCAGTACTGATTTTCCATTCATGTGAGTGGATGCCTTGGAGTGGCAGTACCTGCCGGTGTTTCTCAAGTCTTCAGACAACTGCAGCCTCTCCATATCTTTTTTTTGTACAGGGTCTTGCTACGCAGTTCAGACTTGTAGTGATCTTCCTGTCTCAGCCTCCCTAGTGCTGAGATTACAGGCATGCACCACCACACTGATTCATGTGGTACCGAGAATCAGACTCGAGACCTTGTGCTTGCCAGGCAGGCACTTATGCTGCCACACTGTCTCCGCAGCCCCCCACATCTTGACTGGAAACTTTGACCCAAAACCTCCCAACTAAGCCACTCCCAATTTTTAATAATCCCAGACTGAGATTATGAAAATTTTTGTTGTTTTAAACCAATAAGTCTACTTCAATAGATTTCATTACCAGAGGAGGTTTAGGTTCATAATAAATTGAGCAGGCGGTACACTGATTTCCTACAGACCCTTTCACCATTACCATCACCTCACAATGCACACAGCTTCTGCCATCAGCAGCAGCCCCACCAAGAGCGGCACATCTGTTAGAACTGGTGAGTGAATCGGCATGGATACACCATTGTCAGCCAGACTCATGCTCATGCTCACACTAGGATTTGCTCTTGGTGTTGTGTCCTAGGGGTCTTGACAACTGTATGATACTGTCTCAGTTACTCTTCTCTCATTGCTGGGACAAACAACCGACACCCAAAATGAATGAAGGGAAGATTTACATAGCTCACGTTACTGGAGGTTTCAGTCCATACTCAGCTGGCTCCAAGGCAGGCTGGCACATGGCGGTGGAACAGCAATACCGGCAGCAGGCAGCGGGCGACAGTGGCCACACAGGCAGCAATGGCTACAGAGAGGAAATATGTCTCTCTGTCCCTCTTATATTGCATTCAGGCTCTCTGCTCCAGGCTGGGGGAAGTACACACCCTCATAATCCCTGCAGTACTAAAACCCATAATCCCAGCCTTGGATCACCCATAATCCCAGTGGATCATGAGTTAATCACAAACTCTTGAAGTCCCTGCCCCGTGACTGCATGAGGCTTTGAGGGGACAACTAGATACAAACCGTAATAGATACCACGGGCCCACATCGTGGGATCATGGAGTAACCTCCTTGCCCTTAAAACCCCTCTGTGCTCCACCCCCTCCCTCCCTCCATCCCAAGATCCCCATAGTTTTACCTTTCCCCAATGCCACACAGTTGGGATTAGTCTATGTTCTTCTCAGATTAGCTCCTGTCACTTGGCAAAATGCATTCAGGTTTCCTCCATGTCTTCTGTGGCTTGATAATGCGTTTAGTTTCAGCACTGAGTACTACTGGGCTGAGTGTGCCATGGCTTATTTATCCATTCAGCTGATGAAGGACATCCAGCCATCAGTGACCAGATGACCTGTACATCTACTTTGAGGATACCAGAGCAAGCAAATCGCTTAGTGTCTGTGGAGATACCGTTATTTTCTTCCCCTCCCGAAATGACTCCTTAACTTCTGCCCCTATTGTCTTCTCCTGGGTAATTTTGAGGATTAATGGCATGACCAACTGGACACATTTCCCAGATTTCCTTGAGGACGAGGCTGGCCATTTGGCAGGTTCCAATAAAAACCATTGAAAAAGTCCTAAAAAGGAGGAAGACTTGAAATTCTCCCTTCTCCCTTTAGGAAAGTGGAAGCCCAGCTCTCCTGTGTTTTCCCACAGGCCTCAAGCAAGTTCTTCAATCTCTCTTCACCTCTGGGACTATTAGGATCTTACATAGAATAGCTGTACCTAGAGCAACCCAAACCCAAACTAGTTCCAGAAAATAAGGAGGGGGAAGATATGTGCTATGTGCCAGACACCCTCCTTCGGCTTCTCGAAGATTCTTTTAGGTGTCCTGCCCACATGCTCTGACTCAGAAAACACCATGGGGACACAGGCATCCACGTTCCAGTTGCCCTGACTGTGTGAAATGGACATTCAGCCCTAATCAGAGCCCAGGTTCAGGGATTCACACAGGACACAGCAGGCAGAGCCAGAGTGCTCCGTGGCATCAGGAGCCTCAGTAAGAAGGCTGGACACGTAGACGCCAGACTGCCGAAGAGGTAGCCCGGGGCTCCAGTGCACGTGTCCTCACTCCCAGGCTGGCCTAGGCTTGCAAGGCACACGGCCCTGAGTGCCACACCTCCCCCAGGCAGTCATGGCCCACAGGGCTCAAGGGCTGGGTAGGGAGAGCTGTGGAGTGGGAGCAGTGTCAAGGCCCCTTTGCAAAGAGCACACGGAACGGGACTGCTGCTGCACCATCTTTGGAAAATGCAGTCTGACACCAAAAAGGCAGGGTACAGGATACACAGGATGAGGCTTAGGGTGTCCCAAAGCCAGGTGTCCTGTTTGCCACAGATAAATAACCTGAGCCTAATATGTATAACACCTCGAGGATACCAGGCTTGGTTTCAGACTGCACCAGAGGCTTCCAGAACACCATGTGATTTCCTACACACAGTGTCATTTATACACGAGTCACTCGTACCCCTTCCAGATAAAGTCAGAGGAAGAGCCACCAAGGGTTTTAGTAATGAGACTTTTAATAAGAGTACAACTTAAATAGACGCTTTGGCTGGGGCTCCGGCAGTATTTGAAGAGGACCCCTGACTTTAATTAACTGTTTTGCTAGGTGGGGCTTCTTAATTAGTACAGAAGATCTATACAGATTATTTTTCCATTTTTATTATCAAAAAAAAATGTAGGATAGTTCCATGGCAATCTTTTGAAGTTGGAATTAATTTAAGTAAAATTGTCACTGAAATGCTCAGGCCATTGCCTATGTATAGCCAGTGGTTGAGGCAGGCAGAACAATACTTCACTAGCAAAGCTGATTTATTCTCTTAAAAAAAAAAGACAGCACAAGTGAATCTTGTCAGATGTCCCCCTCCTTGCTCACTGGAGCATTTAGGTAGGAGAGTTCCTCTATACTCTATGAGCGCCTTGGGCACTAAGCCAACAGAAGGAAGAAAAGCCCAAGCCATCTACATAATGCACTAATGTGCAAATTCCAGTCCACATGCCTTGTTGGCATGTACACCACGAAATAAAGGAATTTGTCACAACAGATTCTGGATACCACTGGATACTATTGTATACTATTAAATTTAAAGTCACGTTTGTACTGAGAGCAAGGAGCCCAATTTCTTATACACCAATTCTGATTAACCCTGCATCTTCCATCTGGACCAAGGACAAACTCCAGAGCTGTTTCCCAGCCTTCATAAAAATCACAAAGAAACTCAAAAGGATAATAGAATTTGGGGTGGGGGGAGAAGAAAAATCACATCAGAAGCAACATATTAGTTTCAAGGTCCAACTCTCCTAAAATTTACCATCTACCTGAAGAAGAAACTACACTACCCCTAACATGCCATGTTGAAAGGCATGTAAAATAATCCTAATTATCCCAGAATCCTCAGGGGCGGCAGCCCTGGGAGGAACTCAGTCCTGATCTGCCGCCCTGTAGGACCAGCGCTGACCCTGAGGACGGGGAGTTTGAGTTTGAGAGTACCCCTTCCTCAGTCGTCTGCCGTAGATGCAAAATACTATGATCTGTTCCAGATTCCTGGAAGGTTTTGCTCACGTAAGACAAACCTCATTGCAACCAACCCCGTTTGCCTGCTGAAGACAGAATCTGCGCTCAACAACACCTGCTCATCGCTGTCTGGAACGGCGGCTTGCTTACTGGAGGGACTCATCATGCTGTCCTAGCCACGGAGCACCTCTGCTCAGCATCATGCTGACGTCACGCCCCAAGAGACCCCAAGATTGCAATCCAATCTTTAAAAACTAAGACCAATAAAAAATCATAAGTACCCAACGGATCCATAACAAGCCACAGAAAGGAGGCCAAGGGCACCACCCTGACAGGTTGGGGTGACATCAGCAGTGCTGGATGCTCGTACTGTCACTGCTCCTGGCCAGCAGCCAGCCAGGGCACCTTGGGAACTTTTCAGCCATCACCTGTTAGGAATCATGGCCTCCATGCTCCACCAAAGTCCCAGTCAACCCTGCCAAACAGGGAAGTCCTGGCTGGCTGCAGGTGGGTTCTTTGGGGTCAAGTTGCTGTTGCCCAGAGTGGGAGGTCTCAAGGTGGCCTAGAGATGTCACTGGGCAAAAACCAATACCTCTTTTTTTCTTCTTTTTTTTTTTTAAGAGCAGTGCTTCTTGTGAATGGTTTTTCTGCTGCCCAGCGATTGTTGGAAAAGCCCACATCAAAACCATCCTGTGTTCTTGGAAATCCTCTCCAGAACCCCAGCAGCCCTACCTCCCACGGGGGGAACTGGCCCTTCTAGGTTACTCATTGGCCTGCAGCTTTCCAGCTGAGAGGCGGTGACTTGAGGAACCTACAGAACGGAAAAGGCCAAGGCACATGGAGAACCCGTGGGGTGGAGATTAGGCAACCAGGCACTCTACAGCCAGAGGCTCAGCCTGGCTCTCTGCACAACTCCCAGAAGGCTCCACCTATACACTCCCCTGCTGGCCCTGACCCCTCCCCTATCCCTGTTCCTTCCCTTCTGTCTCTGTCTCACATATACTTTTTTTTTTAATCTATGTATTTGTTATAGGGTCTCACTGCAAAGCTTGGACTCAGTGATCCTCCTGTTTTCAGCCTCTGCAGCGCTGAGATTACAGGAGTGTGCCACCGTGTCCGGACTCTATGGCCTACTTAGTGTGTCTGGGGGCAGGGCTGGTGCAGTGGGTGTTCTGTCTCACATCTTACCTTCCCCTTGCTCCCCCTGCTTTCTTTCCCATTCCTGTCTCCATTTTTTCATCAGAAGACTGGTTCCTCCACACAGCACAGCCAGAATATTTACATGTCACTTCATTTTACAAATAATAATCATTGGTCACATTTGGAAACCACAGAGTCAAATGAATAGAAAGGAAAATAAAAGTGATGCAGTCTCTCAACCATAAAAATAAATCCATTCAAGGGCCAGCCAGATAGCTCAGCGGATTAAAGCTCCTGCTTAGGGAGATGTAGGGGGAGGGGGGGCGGGGGTGTTTGATCCCTGGCCTGCTGTGCTAGCTCCACCCTGGCGCATGCTGAGATGGTGAATGAGACTGGGTGTGGTGGTGTGTGCCTATAATCCCAGTGCTTAGGGGGCTGAAAAAAAAGGAAGGACCATTACAAGACCGATCTGTGTTGTGAGACCCTGTAGACCCTGTACTAAATACATAAAAAAAAGAAAGAAATTGACCATTCACATTTAAGTGTTGGTGGTTGTGAATATTTTGGTGTTGTGATATGTGCCGTGAACCCATTTCCCTGATGGGAAATCTGCTTCAGTTGCACCATTGCATCTCCCTTGTGGCTCACCCCTCAACCTCTTTCCCCAATCGTGCTCAGCCTCTTCCTCCCTCCCAAACCCAGCTTTTATCTTCATTCACCTGACTTGGCCCCTCATGTGCGTCTCCTTGGCGGGGGTGGGGGGCACCCAGGCTTCACCCTGAATACATAAATACTCACCAGTTGCCTCAGTTTATCTAAAAAGTTAAACCATGGTCTTTGTTTAGACAGAATCCCCAGATGAATGCCAGGACTGAGTACATGTTTTGGATGAGGTGTCCAACTTGCTAAGATCCCTAGATGATCTGCTCATGTTCAGAGGGAAGTTTAAATCTATATGTACTCTGCAGAGATGAGTTATTGTATACTGCGTTCAGAGCTCAAGAGCAAAATGGAAGCCCAGCCACCACCAGCAAAACCTTTGTTCTACACAGTCCCCAGACCTGGCCACCTGGGAACAGGTCCGAAGGAGTGTGTTGACACTGTCAGGGACCAGAACAGAAAAACACTCATGACATGGAATTAGTGAGGTATCTTTCCTGTCACTGAATCTGTAAGGCAGTTTTAGTCAGTTTTAAAGGGCAAAGTGCTAGAGACCCACACAGCAAGCTGTTTACAAACTGAAAGGTCATCTGTGAGTGTATGTGTATTTGCTATGGTCTTGGCCCTTATGCCTGGGGACCAACCTTATCAAGCTGACCCTCCCAAGCCCCACCATTGGGGGTTTATTTGCTTTTCACCTGTCTCTTTAAATATTTTTAAAACAATGAAATTCCCTGTGATCTTTGACTTTGACTGGGATTTTTTCCTCAAAATGGTCCTGTGAAAACCCAAGAGATTTGAGTCTTAAAGTAACGCAGAGAAAAGAATAAACCTAGTTCCACTTCCTAGCTGTGAGAAGTGCTGAATGATAATTGGTTGTAACCTAACAACTAATTTAGAAATAAAAACACCGCAACCACAGTTTAAAACATCTGGATAGTGTTTAATTATGCAACCCAAGTTCCAATTTCTGGCGGACTATTAATCTTCCCTTAAAGTTTGGTCAATAGCTTTACTTTGCAATAAGTGACAAAGACCTGTTCTATTTTGAAAAGGAAATCACTGTGATAAAATTCCTAAAGTCTGGAGACACTTCTAATGCTGTTTTTCTGATCCTTGCCAGAGTTCAGAAATAGTAACTGGTAGCGCCAAAGCTGGGACCTACTTCCGGATTCACATCAATAAGTATAAAATGGTGGAGGACATCACGTGCCTTTCCCATGAGCCTTTCCCTGTCTCCAACTACATCCGCCTGTTCGGCCAGCACGAACAAGCTCTCAATGACCTCTGTGCGCGTTACAACAGTGACCGGATTTCAGATCTCTATAGGTAGGTGAACATCACATCTGACTGTGAGGAGACACACGGGGATGTCTTGTGCATGGCATGGGGGCTGTGTTGCACCCTTGGAGGAGCTAGAGTGGTGAGGTTTGGTCTTAATGGAGTAAAGACCTGACCAACAGCATTGGCTGGAGAGTGAAGAGTCAGAGGAGGAAGGACAAGGGCTGGGCCATGTCCATACCTGGGCCCCAGGGGCATCACACACAGCCTTCATGGGGTGGGGACATGACATCACATGCGAGTCCTTTTCACACATAGCTTCCAAGAGCAGTGGTCAGAGCCTAAGAGCAAGATTAAGAAGCAGGGTGTGGAAAGATCTGGTCTATGGGGTGCTGCACAGCCTCCAGAGGCTGTCGAGACCCCATACTGCCCTTTTCAGTGAAAGCTCAGACACAGGTAGGCAGGTGTTTGCCAAGATGCTGGTGAGAAGGTCCCTGTGCTGAGTAAGCTCAGTGTCTCTTCTCAGACCCTGACCTGCGCTCTGCCTCACATCAGGCCTGGTCTTCTAGACTGGGAAACAACTGCTGGATGCAGCCTCCTGCTTGGTGAGGCTGGGAAACTCCCCCCTCTGTCCCCTAAGCAAGACAGCAAGTGACAGAGGTGGAGGATGTTGATCACAGAGGGCCAGTATACTTGCAAATCATAAGGGGTACATACTACCAGGATCATTATCAATATTTCTTCCTTCTTAAAATTTTTTAATTATAAAATACACCATGCAAGTTTTTAAAAAAGGTATTGAAATATACATACATACTTGAAGGGAAGGTAATACTGGAAATCTTAGTGCCTGGAACCTATGGTAAGAAAGAATGCCTTAGTTGGGGACACTGAAAACCACCTCTGAGTCTACCCCACCTCTGTCTCTCAGGAGACAGCCAGCATCCTGAAGCTTGACTTAGTCATCCTTGGGGGTGGGGGACATCAGCAAACTTTCTGTAAAGGGAGAGATCTGGCCTATGTGTCCCAAGAGCTCAGCTTTCACCTGGAGGTGAGAAGGTGGCTATAGTCAGGGTGTACTCAAAGGGATACAACATATCCCAATAAACCTTCACTGACCCAAACAAACTGTCTAGATTTGCTCCAAAGGATGCAGTTTACAAACCAGCTCAGCCTAGACATGGGCACAGAGACAGCACCCCTAAATTATGTGTAACATTGAACAGAATTGTGTGATATGTTGAATAGAATTCTTCCATACAGCATCTCTGGTGTGCAGAGGAAAGCCAGCCTTCCATCAAGCACCATTGGTGAGAGCCACTTGGCCTGGGTTCTGAAGCTGTGGTCCAGTACTTCTGTTTGCAGCACCCAGTACCCATCCTTATGTAACTGTGTCCTAGTTTACTCATGGATTTTCCTTCAATAGATGAATTAAGTTGTTCCCAACTTAACATTGGCTCTTACCACCTTGAGAGACATAACTCATGTGCAGAATTTCTGGACAGTGGCCCAGCTAGGCAACCGCCAGGTTCTGAGACACTCACACCTTCAACATGACTTGGTATCTGCCCTCTTGCAGTGCCAGAGAGAGAGGCTTTGTGACACATCCCTGTCACACACCTTGGTCACATTCAAACTTTTAAATTTGCCAAGTCTGGAAGGATGCAAGGGTATTTTCCACAGCTTTTCATTTGTGCCTTGCTAATTATCAATACACATGAAATCTCTCACCCACTTCTAGCACTTGCAATAGTTTCTATTCATGAACATTAACCATTTTCCTTTTGGGTGGTCTTCTTAAATATTCTCAGGAGTCTTGTCTTCGTACAGCATGGATACAAGCTACTTGGAAACATGTCTTGTCACTTTCCATATGGTATCACCAGGTATTCTTAATGTAGTTTCTTTGTTTGCTGCAAGGGTGTGTTGGGTGGTTTGTCCCCTTACTCTTCCAAGCTTTTTTCCAAACTCAGGACCTTGTGCTTACCAGGCAGGGCTTTGTTCCAAATATTTTGTAATAAACTTATCAAGCTTTATGCAAAAGCCCACTGGATTTGGTGGGAAATGAGCTCACTCTTAGATCAACTGAGTGACAACAGAACTCTGATATTGATTTCAACATCACAACATGGCATAGTAACAATTTACTCGGGTCTTCTTTCTTATCTTTGAATGAAAGCTTCTCATTTTCTCCTTAAATGGCTTTCACAACTTTTGTTTGCTATGATTCAAGGTTCTTTATATTTTTACATTGATGTTATTAGTATTATTTTTATTTTTTTCCATAATTTTATTGATAAACAAATAGCAATGAGACAGTTTCAAACCAAATTGGTAGGACAGTTTCAATAATTAACACATTGCATACATTCTTCCTAGTGGTTATTTGCTGTACAAGATGCGGACATGATATCCTATTTACAAACACCATTAGAACAAATCCCTCTATTCATTAAGAGAATGTAGCTATATATCTATCCTAACCACTTTGAATACACAGATACAAAATGGACATTCATCTGTATCCCCTTTTTTTGTTAAGTTCCGTTATTTGAATATTATAGGTGTGTTAAAATATTCTAAAAGAGTCCAGTAGTCCATAATAGTATTGGGTCTTCCACTTGGCTGGCAATGTCAGAAATTGTTGACCTGAGTCCCCTACAGCTCAACATAACAGCATGCTTCTCGTATATAGAAATGCCCTGATTTTTTGTGTGTGTGGTTCTGTATCCTGCAAACTTGCTAAATTCCTTCATTCTTTCAAATAATGTAGTTTGCAATTCTTTTAAATTTTCCACATACAGAAATTATACCACTGGGGCCAGGGAGATGGCTCAGTGGAATAAGTGCTTCCCTGGCAAGCACAAGGGTCTGAGTTCAATTCCCAGTTCTGCCAGAAAAAAAAAGAAAAAAGAAAAAAGAAAGAAAGAAAGAAAGAAAGTATACCATCTACGAATAGTGACAGTTCTGTTGCTTCTTTTCCAATAGCTATGACTTATATTTCTTTTTCTTGTCCTACCACATGAACTGAGATGTGTAGAATTAGCGAGCTGAAGTGTATCACCCTTAACTCATTCTGAATCCTGAAGGTATTATATTCAGTATCAAATATGTAACATTTGCCATTTATATGCTACAAATGCCCTTTCTCAGGCTGAAAAAGCTCCTTTTAGGCTTGGGGGAGTGGCTTGGTGGATACTTACCTACTCTGCAGGACACCCAGGGTTCAATTCTCAGTACTTCAAAAGAATTAAAAGAAAAGGGGCCGGGGAGATGGCTCAGTGGATTAAGCACTTCTCTGACAAGTGCAAGGGCCTGAGTTCAATCTCTGGTTCTGGAGAAAAAAAAAGAATTAAAAGAAAGTTCCTTCTTGTAGCTGGTTTGCCGGACTGTGTGTACATGTGAACACGCGCTGGGAGTGAACTCAGGGCCCTGGGCATGCTAAGCATAGGCTCTGCTACTGAGCCCCACCTCAGCATTTTTATCATAAATGGGTTTGGGGTATTTCCTGGAAATAGTATTTAATTTCTGAATCTTTTTATGTGTAAAGATATCTTCCTAATGTTTTTGAATGTAAGCTATATTTTGATAAAGCGCCAAATGCTCTAATCCTGGGCTTCTCCCCTCCAAGCCTCTACACACTTGACTCCACTGTTAATTCTACATTAAAAAAAAAAAAACCATAATATAAGGGTCTGAAAAGCGGACGCATTATCCCCTCAGCTCGTTAGGTGTTAGCCTTGCTGTGTCAACCTTGCTGGAGACATTTGGGTTCAGGGGAATAAATCCCTTGTCTGTTCAAGCAAACTTCTGCTGGGTGGTGAAAGACAGGCTAAGAATCTCCTCTGAAGAGGAAATGTGTTCACATTTGGCCAAATTCACAGCTGTAGCTGGCTTGTTCCTCTCGAAAGGTGGATTTGAAATGCGCAGCGCTGGTGAGTTGGAGACCCCTGGCCGGGTGCAGCTGCCGACTCACGAGAGCAGTACTTTTAAAAGTCAATTTGGTTTGTTAACAGTGGATGTTTGGGATGGCAAAGCAAGACAGGCGGCACTGGAGGGCGGGCAGTGCAGCCTGGCATCTGTCAGGAAGCAGCGGGGGTGAGGAGGTGCCCAGGGTCACCAGGCCCTGGCAGGCTGGCCCTCCATGTGCTCTGCGCTTGCAGCTGCAGCCCCTCTGCCCCACGGCACCGAGCACCGCCAGGTCCCAGGGCTAGCTCTGCCATGAAGAGGCTCTTTCCAAGCAGGCAAGCGGCTTAGCTGATTTTGGCAGCAGTGTGGTTACCGATGGCTTTCCTGGCGTTGGCAGCCCCACGCAGTCTGGCATACTCCCTGTGTGTGCTTGTGTCCCCAGCACCTATCTCAGCACCCAGTGCTGCTTCGCTGTGTCGTGGTTGTTGCTGTGGGACCTGCTCTCCTCTGGACTGGAGAACCTGCGCCCCTTCCTCACTGTCTCCCACCCCCACCCCACAAGCCAGGGTACTGCAGGCCTGTCATCCCCTGTCAAGTCGGATGCCGCTGTGACAGGCAAGGCCACCAGAGCAGTGACTCATTTGGTACCATATGGGGACGCAGAGTGGCAGGGGGACAGCTGCCACAGGAGCGAGGTGCTGGCTCAGGGTCTGCCTGTATTTTACTCTTTGTGTTCACCTCGGAGTGCCAGTACCAACCATTGGCATTGGCACTGAGAATGAGAAGGAATCATAGCCCCGTGTGTGTATGTGTGTGTGTGTGTGTGTGTGTGTGTGTGTGTGTGTGAGAGAGAGAGAGAGAGAGAGAGAGAGAGAGAGAGAGAGAGAGAAGGGACAGGGATAGGGTAGGGACAGGAGAGAATTTTTTTTTTCCTTTCCAAATCAATGAGCATTTATAGTTACATAGCAAATGTGGCACTAAAATCTGCCTTTCCCTTTAACACAATTGTGTCCCTCAGGTCTCATGTGCACACACGTACAGGTTAACACACATGTGTATACAGGCCTGTGCCTTCCTGCCGAGTCACAGACATGGTTAGGGGACAGGACCTCCCTCCCTGCTGACAGGACTCTGCCTTT